GAAGTGATTCTCAAAATGTTCCATCATATGTGTTCTTATGAAAATAGTCTAGACTATTCTAAATTGAAAAAACTGAAACAACTTCAGCGTATTTACATTAAGTCATAATGAAATAACTATTAACTCGGTAATAGTCTCTAATGTCTCAAAGGCAAGGCAAGTTTATTTATATAGCACCTTTCAACACAGGGCAATTCAAGGTGCTTTACAAAAATGAAAGACATTCAGACAAAGGCATTTAAAAACAGTCATTAAAAAGAAAAGATAATAAAATAAACATTAAAAGAAAAATTACATGAATAAAAAGTACATGAATAAAAAGTACAAAAGTTACAGTGCAGTGTAAGATATGAATAGTTCAATCAAAAGCAGCGACAAAAAGAAAAGTCTTCAGCCTGGATTTAAAAGTAGTCAGAGTTGCAGCGGACCTGCAGGTTTCTGGGAGTTTGTTCCAGATATTTGAAGCATAATAACTGAACGCTGCTTCACCATGTTTAGTTCTGACTCTGGGGACAGAAAGCTGACCAGTCCCTGAAGACCTGAGAGATCTGGATGGTTCATAATTTAGCAGGAGGTCAGAAATGTATCCCTGGCCTAAACCATTCAAAGCTTTATAAACCAGCAGCAGTATTTTGAAATCTATTCTTTGACACACAGGAAGCCAGTGTAAAGACTTCAGAACAGGAGTGATGTGATCCACTGTCTTAGTGTTAGTGAGGACTCGAGCAGCAGCGTTCTGAATCAGCTGCAGCTTTCTAATAGATGTGTTAGTGAGACCTGTGAAGACACCATTGCAGTAGTCAAGTCTACTGAAGATAAAAGCATGGACAAGTTTTTCCAAATCCTGCTGTGACATTAGTCTTTTTATCCTAGATATATTCTTGCGGTGATAGTAGGCTGATTTAGTAACTGTTTTAATGTGACTGTTGAAACTCAGGTCAGAGTCCATGACTACACCTAGATTTCCGGCTTTATCTGTTGTTTTGAACATTGCAGACTGGAGCTCAGCGCTAACTTTTATACGTTCTGCCTTGGCTCCAAAAACCATTACCTCAATTTTATCTTTGTTTAATTTGAGAAAGTTCTGACACATCCAGTCATTGATTTGTTCAATGCACTTACTCAGTGTTTGAATTGGAGCATAGTCTCCTGGTGAAATTGTTACGTAAATGTGTGTGTCATCTGTATAGCTATGGTAACTTAATTTGTTGTTTTTCATTATCTGAGCCAGTGGTAGCAGCATGTAGATGTTAAAGAGAAAAGGCCCCAAGATGGAGCCTTGAGGTACCCCACATGTCATATTTGTCAACTCAGATGTGTATTTACCTATAGAAAAAAAGTTTTTTTTGTCCTTTAAGTAGGATTCAAACCAATTTAGAACTGTTTCCGAAAGTCCCACCCAGTTTTCTAGTCGGCCTAGTAATATGTTGTGGTCAACAGTGTCAAACGCAGCACTGAGATCTAATAATACTAACACTGAAGTTCTGCAAGAACAAGAACTTGCCAAAGATGATTTGACGACAGCTTTAAACAATGTAACCTGCTCACAAAATTAAACTTTGTTTCCCTTTCTTACATATTGCAGGAACAGAGCGCAACTAAGAATACATTACAGAAACACTTTGATTCATTTTTTAAAAGAATATCTGATGTGTGAACTTTAACTAAATCTCTTATTCAGTACTTCTGCTCATGATGAAGTGCGCTAAATTGGAATTTGCATGGCCTGTTATTTACGCCAATAAAGGTTTATTGTTGGTGAACATGATTGGTAGAAGGTTGGAAGGGCCTATGATTAGTATAGTGTTCTTATATTTTTAAAAACAATATCCTGATCATAGGAGAATAATGTTTTTCTTTTGACTGCAAGTTCCCATGCTTTGAAGAAAATTACAGATCCTTTAAAGATAGAAATGTTGCTGAAGTGTCATATTCAAATGTAGGGTTAGCCTTAATGTTACTATGGCACAGTGATTAAAAATAACATTTAAAACGTCAATTCATATATATTAAGAGGTAGTTTTACCTGCAGGAAAGCAACAAAAAAATGCCATCTTGGTATCATGGACACTTTCACCAATAGACATACGCTGCTACTACAATGAGGATAATGCAAATGGGGGTCTCTGTTGCAGCTGTGGTTGGAGTGTTGGTGGGGGCTGGCTTCGAGCTGAGCCCGGAGGCAGCAGACAGAAGGGGGTCTCTGCTGTGCTGCTCACTCCTGGATCTCATGCTCTTCTGTGAGTCCCACCCTGTCTGTCCTGTGTTCATGACATATTGAGTAAAGCACTTTGATTCACACCTCTGGACCCTGAAAGTTATGTTCTACATTTAACTGCTTTAATGTCGAACTATCATGTTTCTATTATTGTTTTGTTCGGTCTTCTGAAGGGCTTCTGGACACCGTGGACCAGAGTGAGACGCAGCAATCTGCGGGAGCTGAGCGATGGTGCTTTTTTATTCAACTTTATCACAATTAGATAGTCTTGTTGGGATGGAAGTCTCTGTCTGAAGATGAATGTAACAGTGGCTGGTGACGTCGTTTATATTTTCAGATTTTCTGAGTTGATAAGGATCCCCCGAGTGCATGTGATTTAACTTACAACCTGAAACTGATTATTGGATCCTTTTCCTGGAGGAAAGGATGTGTGTTAAAATGTGTAAGAATGCAGCCCCTGCATGAGCCACAGTAATTAATTTATGCTGCTCAGTTTTAGTCAACAGAAAAGTGAATTTTGTGGTCATCGTGTCACAACAGAAAAGTGAATTTTGTGGGTCACACTGATGTTCCTGCTTTTTTCAGCAGCCCAGTTTTAAGCTCATGACCACATTAGCTTCATCTGCTACTTTCATTTATCATGTTTTTGCCTGATTGATCATTTTTCTGTACTGCACAGTTCTCAGCTAAATTCTTGCCACTTGTTTGAAGAGAGCACCTTGCTCCTATGATCAGAATGTGTTTGCCTAAACCAGTGTTACTGTAGCTCCTGTCTCTGCATGCTTCACACACTGAGTCACATCTACTGTCTGCAGCAGAACAGACAGCAACCTCTAAAAGTGCATCACTTTGCATGTGTCTAAAACATTGACTACAGAATTCCTGTCCTGTAATTAAACACAAGGAAGTGTGGCCAGTAGCAGGAGTTGTTTATTGTTTAACTCTAGACGATGTACCTACAGTAAACAAACAGTATTAAGAACATGTATGCTATCCGATGTTTTTGTTTCTCACTCCCCGGCTCTGTGTTTTTTACAGGATTCAGATATTTGATGCTTCACTGTGTGGAGCTTCAGCCTCAGTGGATACCCTGCAGCGTTTCTTCACACACTCACTGACACAGACCCTCACATACAAGCCTCGACTAACAGGTACATACATGTTTTCAACAGCTTGCTGTTAACTACACTCATCTGGGAGATCATCAGACTGGGTCAGAAACTGAAGGTCTCTAGGACTTTGGAAGTCTTGGGAATGAATCTCCTGATGTACCATGCATGCTGATAACATACATAATTAGTTTGAAAGCCTCAACTACACAGCGCGGCAGGTTGGATGGGGGCCTAGCAGTATCCAATTTCTTATATTATATTATTGGTCTTTCGCTCCCAGACCTCTGGTTACGTCAGTGGTTCTCAAACTTTTTCTGTCAGGCCCCCCCTTTGGAGAAAAAAAAAAGTCGGGCCCCCCCAACACAAATAGTCAGGCTCAGTGGCGGCGCCAGAGATTCTATTTTGGGGGTGCTGTGGGGTAGCTTGACGTTTCATAGAGGGTGCTCAAACATTTAGGGTTTCCCATTAATGTACTGGTCGCTACAGTGGAATGTTCTACTGCAACAATCCCCACACACACACACACAGTGTACCCGCGACTGTTACAATGAAGGCTCGATAATCAGCTCACGGCATATAGGTGTAAGCAGGGGTAAAGTGTTATTTTTATAGGTGGTGTGTGGACCTCACATAGGGGGGTCAGGGGGCAAGCTCCCCTGGGAAGATTTTTAAATATTGAAGTTAAAAGCATCAATCTGGTGCACTTTGAGAGCAACATGAAGAGATCTATGGATACATCTCTCAACACCCATTTGAAACAGAACTGTAAACAGATTTACTTTTTCTTTATGGATATTTTACAAATCACTCCCTTTTTAACGTTATTCTTTTTTTAATGTCATATAGTATTTCATACCTGTTTTTAATTTATTCTCTTATTTTTTTATAACTATAATGATCATATAAACGTGGGGCCTCGGAAATAATTGTTTACATTAATGGTGACCAAAACGTTTGAGACCCACTGAGATAACACTGAGAGTCCTTTAGCTCACTGAGTCTCTCATTCTGACAGGAGAGGACTCTCCTCCACTTTGTTGTTGAAAAAACTCCTTATATCCGTTAGCGTAGCTCGCTAGCACCAGAAGCTAACAACAACGATCTCCGGTACC